TATTGTTAACTTTGAAAAGATGATTAGCACTTATTATATAAATTTATACATGTATCCTATTTTACTGATATTAACTTTGGAAAGATGATTAACTTTTATTATATTTGTATATATATAAATTATTAATTCACATAAAGCACCATTATAAATTGAAAAGTTCCATTTTACTACTATTAACTTTTTTTGAAATAATAATTATTATATAAATGTATATATGTATTCTATTTTACTGATACTAACTTTGAGCAACATAATATTTCGCATTACTTCAAATAATATCATTAGAAAATATTTTTTTTTTGTGATAATAAATTATTAGCATTTAATTTTTTTCAATTTAAAAAATTTGACATAATTTTCATTTCATTGTTTTGCATAGTTCTTATTATTTTCTGAATTTTTCTTATCTAACAGATATTCAGTGAAATGGATAGGCAAAGAAACATATTTATTATAATTTGTTATTATATTTATTATGACTTGATTTATGTTAGACTGTTTTTGGGAATGGATTTTTAAATTTTCGACTCGAATTATTGATTGGATATTTTTTTGGATAATTTGTATTTATTAAAACTTAAATTTTGGTGATAAAATATTGATTCAGATAAGATTGCTTTTGAAGAGATCAATTAAGTTTTTAATACAAACTATTGATTAGATATTTCTTTGATACCTTATATTTATTAAAACTTAAGTTTTGGAAAAATATTGATTCAGATAAGATTGTTTTTGTAGGGATAAATTTTTAAATTTTCGATTCGAATTATTGATTAGATATGCTTTTTTGATACTTCTCCTTCTTCTCCTCCTTCGATGTTTACAATTAAAAGTATTAGTTTTATCGTTAAGATTAATCCGACTCATTACCATTCTTTTTCCTAATCGAATAGCAATATTGTTTATTGTATTGAAAATTTGTTAGTAAATTAAATTAAATATAATTGAAGTTTAAAAATGAAGCCAAAAGTGTAATAAATAAACACCGAAGAAAATATATATCTATGAAGCAAATTTATAATTTGAAAAAAGAAAGAAATAATTAATTTATAATCCATTTTAATTACTAGGTAGTATAGTTCAATCAATAAAATTTTTTTTCAATTTACGATATATTGTAAAATAACTATGAATTTATAAAGCAACAAAAAATAGTATACAAATAAATTGTGAGAGAGATTCGATAATACCAAACATTCATAAAATATTTTTTCATTTTATTTTGCTTCAAATATTTTTGCTGAAATATATGAACTATTCAATTTTGAATTTTTGCTTTGTTTTTGGTTCTTTTTTTCCTATTGCAGTATTTGTTTTATCATTAAATATTTCATTTAAATATTATATAAATAATTTTGATTATAATTTTTGAACTATTTTCTACAAAAATATTTCAGTAATATTTTTGAAAAAACAATCATTTTATAAATTACAACGTTATGCAATTAATTTAATAAAACTAATTTATTGCAATTAGTTATGCTAATTAATTTAATAGAAATTAATTCAATATAGCCAATTAATATAATTGAACGTAATTAATTCAATATAATAACTTTGAAACTTTAAAAAATTCTGATTATTCAGCTAAAGAAAAAACAATTAAACCTTATCAAATTCTGTTTTTTTCTCTCCTCATGAAATTTATAATATAATTTATAATAACTCGAATAATTAATGGTATTCCATGAAATACATGAAACATATGTTTCATGAAAATAAGTAAACGGTTCGATGTTTTTCTTATATTATGCAATATACTATGATATATCAAAAATTGAACAATAAAATATAAAATCAAAAAAAATAATTAATGTATAAATTTAATTATTTCATCCCAAAATTTGATCATTTTATTCTAAAATTAACTTCATCAACAACTATCCTAAATTCTCCATCTATTTATTCCATTCTCAAATTTATTGAATTATTAAAATATGATATTAGATGTTAATGATAAAAATATAGGTTGAGGGGGATAAAAGAAAGAAAAGAAATAAAATACTAGATAAAATGGTATAGATTAGATAGTAATGTTATTATATTTGTGTTATCAATAAGGTCATCTAACCAGTTCCCATCTTTCACATTCAATCCAATCACGCGACCTAACCTATTATTTGCACTGAATTCAATCACACAACTTAAATCATCAATTTATTCTTTTAACCATCTATATTGTATGACTTAAAAGAAAAGTAATATTTCATTAGCAATTTTTTCTTTCTTACAATTATTGATTTCAATTCCTAAAATGATTGCTGATTTGTTCATTTCAAACATCTCATACTATTTTCTCTTTTCTTTTCTTGTTTTCTCCAATGTTTATAACAAATTTTCATGAAACTCTCTACTAAGATTAGTTATATTATTTATAATAATAATTTGAAATCTATTAAATATTAACTATTTAGAGTACTTACATTTCTATTTCAATTACTTCGATGAAATTTTTGTGATAATGGTATGTTGATCTTTTATTATTGTTCTTTTATTTACATATACAGATACTACACGTATCATATTACTATTTCAATTTTTAACCTAATATATATGTTGTATATATATATATATCTGCTCTTATATATATGCTCTTATATATATATCTGCTCTTATATATATATAAGAGCAGAAAAAGATTACTTTTTGCTTCTTTCATTTTAGATTAAAAAGAAGTAAGAACGATATTATCACTTTGTAATTTTAGAATTATCACTTTATAACTTTTAAACGAATATTTTCTTTTAATTTTAGTGGTTGCTAAAGATAGTAAATTGTAGAAGATTATTAAAATTATCATCATGATATTATTGCAGGAATCAATGAAAGATACAAATAAATATTTATTACATAAGGAGCTTAATATTGGACCATTTCTTTTCAATGTGATCATTGGAATAATTATTGGTATTTCTTTAAATTAAAAATATTTCGATGATTTTTTATTGGCACCAGCAAAAATGATGATAATAAATCTTATTATGGATTGAAAACATTTTTCTAAACTTCTATATTTTCATTCTTTCTTTTTTCCATTAATAGTTGAAAATTCTTCTTTATCGATTATTCAATTAATCACAAAATAAATTTTCTAATGAATAAAACATTAATGATAGTATTAGTGAAATATTATTGAAAATAAAAGAATACGATTAATCACTTTTTGTTCATTCCTATCTTTATATATATATATATATTTGAATATACATTGAAAAATGAAGTAAGCAGTAAAAATATATCAAAATTTTGTTTGGAAATGAATATGTATACAAATATATGATATTTGGATTCTAAGAACTGTTACAAAAACTCGAAACGAATAAAAAATGGAAATAATTTTGAAAATATTTAATTTAATAAGATTTTAAAGTATTTAATGTTAAAGAATTAGAATTTCATAGGTTTATCAATAGAAATTCTTCCAAATCTTTATTTGGAACCATATCGCCGTGGATTTTATTGCGATGATACGACAATTCAATTACCCTACAAATCCAGTACCATATCAACACCAATGCTTTTCAAAGCCCTGTTCATTCTTCCACTTATTGGAGTTTGCTTTATTTTCATTTAAATTTTCTTCTGCTCATTTAATTTTTTTGTTCTACTTTAAAATTATTTCCATTTGAAGCAATACATTCATATCGATACATAATGTGTTGAAACGATTAAAATAATCTTTAAATGATAGTTTCAAAATTTCTTGATTGAACAAATTCTTCACTTCATAGTTTAATCTGATACTAAATTTGCGCACCGATCTATTATCTCTTTCAGCTTTCAAAAAGATGATACAGAATCATTTATTTTATCAATGTTTTAATTTCTCTTTTCTGACTAAAAATTAATTAAAATTTGATAAGTAGCAATGATAAAAGACTATCATTCATTGTTTTTTCTGTTGTATAAGAACCATTTCATCAGCGTGATATAATCGCTTACAAACTTTATTAGTATAATTACGAGAAAGTATCATTTATTATAATCAAAAATTGGTTGAAATATTAAAAATAACAATGATTATTAGAATGGGAAAAGAGCAGAGGGAAGGAAAAAACATTGCCATTATAATTTCCATTACTTTTAGCTTTTAACCATGAGAATGATATTTATTTCATCAACGTGATATAATTAATCATCATATTCAAAAAATTTCTCAGTTGTTAATGTATATGAATATAGCACAGAGAATCGCTTGTTTTGGGAGTGTTTAATTTTGCTGACAGTTGAAAAATAAGGGAATCAATTCATTGGAATGGAAAAATAAGCAAAAATTGGAAAAGAAAAAGCATTATTTTTTTTCTCTTACCTTTTTAGTTGTGAATTTTTTAGAAAAAATTGACTAAAACAGGAAGAACTATAACGGGAAAGAAAACAATAGAAAATACAATTAGCGATAATTTTATTATCTTTTTGACTCCTTTTGACTATGCACAAGAACCATTTTATCAACGTGATATAATCATGTTGAGAAATTTCTCAGTTAATAAATATGATTTGCAAACAAATAATAATAGCGCTAGTGATGATAGAGAGTTTTCAATGAATTTCAGGTTGCAATTATCGAAATATGTCGCTCGAAATGTTGCAGAGAGTTATATAGTTGGCGAGGTTTTAATCTTAATCAAATATTAGTCAATTGCTTTAAATACTATGGTAAATATTGATTATTCGTTTTTTCCTTTTCCCTTCACGGCAACTCCTTCTTCAAAATAATCAATAAATGTGATCAAATATTTGACAAAATAATAATTACCAAATTTTTACCATGTAAAATTTTTCTTTTTACATTTATTCAATGTTTCATTTTTTTTTTTAAATTAAAACTGTTTCGGTTTATATGAATAGATAATGATGAATTATTTTTATAGCATATCATATGCTTGGAATAGTTCTAGCACTTTTGCTAACAGTTCCAACAAAGTTTATTGTTGGTGAACTAAGGCCAATATTCTTGGATATATGCAATCCAATATATGATAGTAATTATTGTCATAACCATACATATATCTTGAATTATGAATGTCGTGGCAATATGTACAATCATACGATTAAAGAAGCACGACTTTCATTTTTTAGTGGACATGCTTCATTGGCTATGACAACGGCTACTTTTTATATTGTAAGTTATAAGTGTAATTTGTAATTCGATGAAATAATTTCAACCATTTATACTCTTTCATTTTTTTAGTATTCTACACTTTATACCTACTATGATGTATTTGAAAGCGGAAATATTAATAATTTTAGATTTATGTGCAATCAAGAATTCCACGTACAAGCTTGGCTATTATTGCGAAACCCCTGGTACAACTATTTGTTCTTGGCCTAGCGCTCTATACTGGATATACTCGAATTACTGATGGCATGCATCACTTTCATGATGTGATCGTTGGATATATTGTTGGTGTATTATTAGGCTATATCACGGTACGTATCACGAACATTTTAATAGATAATATGATCTTCATTTTGCAGAAAAAAGAAAGTATATATGGCATAAGTAGTTCAATAAGCAAATACAGATAAGATATAAATGTGTAGTAATAGGATGTAATGCAAGATAAAGTAACAAATTGAAAAAAAAGATCGATTACTTCAGGCTAAATACATAGCAGGATTAAGCATGAAACCTGATAAAATACGACAAAATGAAGTGGAATTGCAAAAAATTGAACTCCACTAACACTATCGGGTATACCAGCATATAAACAAATATTGTTGAATTTGAATCAACCGAACCACCATTATTTGATTAATCGATCATTTGATTTGACAGTGATACACATATAAATTTCTAATGCTTGAACTAATCTTTTCTAATTTTCTTTTTGTTATGGTTTGTTTGAATATTATAACTAATATTATCTTTGGGTGAATAAAATATTCTTCTTAATTTGAAACATAAAAATGATAAGTTATTAGATTCAAATTTATTAGCTTTTTTTTGGAAAAGAACTCAAATTTATTAATCTGAAGAAGCTAGAAATTTACATTTCCTTTACAAAAAAGAAAAATATTTTAAAAACAAATACGACCATAAATTGAAGCATATATCTGTTTTTAAAGGTCTTTTTTCACTAGCAATTATTTATTTTTTATTAGCAGTATTGATTGATCAGAAAACAAGTAAACAAACGGTATATTGGCAGTTTTATCAATAAACAATATATGATTAAAACACCTTAAAATATAAATTTGATTAAAGAAAGTGAATAATAATTGATGCTAAGGGATATGTGCGTAATTAAGTTAGCATTTTACATGGCATAGACGAGATTCCTTTTCTGGTGCATTACATGGTGAATCTTCTTCGTCATCAACATAACGATGTGGTTTGATAATACGTCGTCGACGAATTTGTTTCCCATCACCACATGTTACCGAACAAGGTGACCACATTGTCCATGGTTTGATGTGACAGTTTTGAATTGCTATAAACCGTGATAATTTGAAACAAATTAGTTGAATCAAAAAACTAAATCGAAAGCAAAATCTAAAAAACCTCATAACTTGTTTGAAAAAAATTACGATCAAATAAATGCAAAACTCACCGCAAGGTCTCAATTCACAACGTAATTCTTGTACCATATGTTCGGGGCATGAACGTCCACCATTACGTGGGAACACCTGAAATGAAGATGTATGAATTAAATTAAATTAGATTTGGTCTCATTATTTTGTATCCCGCTGTTTTACGTTTGTTGATTAATCAGTAACTAAATAATTCGAGTTGATCTTTTCTGTGATGGCACTGCATTTTAACCAGTCAGAAATGGTTAACATTTCCGTTTTAGTGGCAAAAGAAACACCAACTTCTATCTGTCGTGAACGTTGTCGTTTGCCTGAACCACATGTAGCCGAACAATTTCCCCACGGTGTCCATTCTGAGATTACGCAATCAACTGGTGAACCGCCGTCATTTACCTGATCAACACCAAATTCGTTGACTAGCTGATGACCCGGTACTTAATATTATCAAATTAATTCCAGCAAGTTACAAGTAATCGAACTTTCTTCTCTCTTTATATTCATTCATTTTAAAAGAGATTTAAATATTCGATGCAATTTCTATTCCGAAACTAAAACACAAATGTGAATGAAATATTTGGGAAAAAAGCTCAATGATTTCAAAGTAAATCAATCCAAACGACTAACCAATTTCTCCAAGCGGATTTTCATAATGTTCCAAACACATTCGTTTACATTCATCCTCGGTTTCGAATTGATTCCGGTTACCTTTGCAACCGGTGTAGATAAATCGTTCACAACGTTTGAGCTTCGAATTATACCAGTAACGCGGAAATGTCCCAGCACATTGTCCTTCTTGCTTATCCTCCATACATATTTCTGGATTAAATCACTGATAATATTTGTAAAGATAAAGTACCTAATATTACCAAATAATTTATCAATTATGGTAATGCATTCATACAATGATTTCACATCACAACAGTCAGCTTCTTTTAATCATGTTCTTATTAACAACAAAAGTGATTAAAATCTTTAATTCATATTTTAATCGGAGAACTAAACAATGCTTTGTGACTTCTAAAAGCAACATAAAATTAGGAAGAAAACTGAAAAAGCACATATTGTTTCACTGTAACCTTTCCAATAAAAATATTTGGTCAATTAAAATTAGTGAAAATTTCGCTGGAATAAAATTTAAAATGCTAAAAAATGAGGAACCTTTCGAGTGTGCGCTTAGTAATCGCCGACAAGTTTGTAACTGACAGTTCTCTTTTTCAAGTAAATTAACATTGGCACACCGTTCTTCATGCTCAGCATAAAAGAGTAGCCTTGTTCGAACGTGAACTCCATCATCACATGATGCGCTACATGGTGACCATTCACTCCATGACGTTGCTTGGCAAAGTGGGTCAGGTGTTACGGAGCAATCATCACCATTATCACCTGAAACGAGAAACATTTTCTTCCCATCAACTAGAATCACTCTTATTATTAACTAAAAAGACATATGTTGAAACTATCCCTTCCAATTAGTTAAATATTGAACAGTAACCGGCATAAGTGTATGACAATTACTTTTCACACCTTCTGAAATGCAGAATTCAATCATTTTATTTATCATCATAGAGAGTAGGGCTTTATTTTGGATATTTATGTTGGAAATAAGTCAACAAATAATTCCTAACAGAATTATTTGGAATTTCTATATACACATATCCCAAATTTCAAAGAACATATAATAGCATTCACTGGATTATGGTTTCATCGGAAATTAAGAAATTAAGCAATAATTGATGTTAAGAGAAGAATAAAACTTGATCGCATTGAATTTCCTGATTTTCAGTAACTGTATGAAGAAATAGAAAGCGATATCTTTTCTGCAAACGTCTGAAACAATGCACACGAAACAGATCAATCCAGTTTTATCTGTATTTTTCTTGAAAAAAATACGCGAGAATAAGAGTAATAACTAACCAGTACAGATGTCTTTACGGATAAGCTCAACATTGGGACAAGTATTGTTATTAGAATCAGGTTCTTTAAAAGTTCTCGACCTCAATCTTGTTCCATGACCGCATGTTACACTACATTCTGTCCATGGTGACCAACCACTAACAGAACATTTCGAGTTGAATGCATCCGAATCTGAATTCTTCTGCCTTTCAGCAAGTAATTTCTTTGTTACATAATATTAACAGAACCTGGTGTAACGTAAAAATAAACATGGTAATTTCAAATATATCTTTTTACTTAGCAAATGAGTTTAAAAATTTACAAACCATGACATTCACTAATTTCTGCATTGCAAAATTGTCTTTCAATAGTTTGGCGATGGCATCGGAACATTTGCGCTTTTATTGGAAATACGTAAACACGAGAACGCATTCGAATACCTTTACCACATGTTGCGGAACACAATGACCAAGGTTCCCAGTTTGTTACCATACATTCTCCTGAAAAAGTGATCACTTAATAAATTAACTGTTTTTTCTCTCTATTACAAAATCCCTAATTTTTGTACGTTTACAATAAGTTTATTGCATTTTTCACTCAAATAGCTAGCAATGAAATATTAAGCATTTAGTCCACACTTTAATCTTTATCTTCGAAAAGTATAATAATCTTATTTGCGGTGAAAGACGACCAGTTTTTAAAAAAGGTGAATTAGAAATATTTTTAAAGAAATTAATTAAACAGAATTATCATCGTTATTTCAACATAAATTAAAAAGGTATTGCAAATTACTAACGACGATCTTTGTATTCTTCATCTTCGCTGGTACTTGTTACATTATAAGCCTCAGTTTGATATTCGTCTGTTGTTTTGCATACCGATTTCACCACTTCTCTCCTCGTCAACTTTAATCGAGCTAACGGTGCAATAATATCACTATCCTCGTTGTAAAATGGTGATCGTTTATCCAGTTTCGTTGTTATCGGATGAATTGGTATGCGAGGATCTGCCGGATTGTTCGGTGACTGAAATTAGCATTTTAATTTCTTTGAACATTTTGGAAGCAACTTACCCAAAACTTTTAGCAATTTTAGCATTGAAAGAAGACAAATAACCTAATGAAGATGACTGATAAAATTAAAGACATACCATATAAGTTGGCCCATTGTCAGTTCCAGCGTCAAAAGGTAATAATTCAAACGTTCGTTCTGGTATCCAAGTACAGTCAGGCAAGCATAAATTGACAGATGATATTCCTACACACCAATCCGGTGATGGTCCAAACATTGCGGCTAGCGAAGCAAAATGATGATACCTGACAATTTAGAAGATAATGAAATGAGTTAAACAGTTCAATTCTTTACTCTTCTCCTGTCCTTTATAGCAATTCGACGATTTTTTTCTTTTCTTTAATAAAAATTCATTTAAACAGTTAATTTCTTTTATCCTTTTCTATACTTAATAATAAATTGCTGACATGATATATATATATATTTACTTATTCACAACAAATGAGCTACTTGTTCTTCCTTGCACTTCTGGATACCATAATCCTTTGATTTTCATTAAAGTACGAATCTCTTCTGCCTACAAATATGTTCCTAAAAATTTCAAGCATTTTACATCTTATATAAATGCAAATACGATTGTTATTATTCATAAATAAATTAATTAATTAATTAATATTTTACATGTATATAATAAATATCCAATATTCAGTTCCATATAATTTCAATGTTAAGATACAAACATTAAAACAACACATATTAAACATGTCGAAGAAAAGAAAAAGCAATTTCAAATTTTTAACATAAAACATGTAAAGCATATAGCAATGAACAATGATAGAATTAAAATAAAATTGAGAGAAACGAAATTTGAAACATACGTTTGCTTTCATTTCTTGTTCTCCTTTATAAGTATTACCCCATTCAGCAATTTCCTTCATACCGTCCGTTGCAATCATACCAAATTTCCACATTGTATAATTGCTACTGTGGCTAGCGCCAAGCATATCAGTGAAATGCGTCAAATGTTCTACTGCACAATATATATATAATATTACCAACAATAATATATCATTCCACAGCAGAATTTTTTTTGTTTTAAGAAATTGCTAATAAAATGTGATGTGCAAGTAAGGATAGAGGAGCAAATGAAGAAATATTGCCATACATTTTATTAATCAAATTTTCTTCATAACTTTTCTTAATTCGTTCCAATTAATTTTCAATTTTTAAAAAATATATGTAAACACAA